CATGGTTGGTATACCCACCAAACACTAAAACAACATGGTTGTTATATCCACCGAACAGTACAACAACATGGTTGGTATACCCACCAAACACTAAAACAACATGGTTGTTATATCCACCGAACAGTACAACAACATGGTTGGTATACCCACCAAACAGTGAAAGAACATGTTTGGTATACCCACCGAACAGTGAAACAACATGGTTGGTATACCCACCGAACACTAAAACACATGGTTGGTATACGCACCGAACAGTGAAGTAACATGGTTGGTATACCCACCGAACACTAAAACACATGGTTGGTATACGCACCGAACAGTGAAGTAACATGGTTGGTATACGCACCGAACAGTGAAGTAACCTGGTTGGTATACCCACCGAACAGTGAAACAACATGGTTGATATACCCACTGAACACTAAAACAACATGGTTGTTATATCCACAGAACAGTACAACAACATGGTTGGTATACCCACCAAACAGTGAAAGAACATGTTTGGTATACCCACCGAACAGTGAAACAACATGGTTGGTATACCCACCGAACACTAAAACACATGGTTGGTATACGCACCGAACACTAAAACACATGGTTGGTATACGCACCGAACAGTGAAGTAACCTGGTTGGTATACCCACCGAACAGTGAAACAACATGAGAAATTTCATTCCGTGTTAAACAGAAACTAATTATTTATTATTTAAAGAAAGCATGCCTGAACAATCTTATAAAAATGTTATTGCCTTTCGGGGTTTATTGTATGTACTGATTGTTTTGTCAAGGTTATTGGAGTATTGTTTTAAAGTCTAAGCCTCACTATCTTCAATGAAACTGTATTTTCCAATCTGATAATTTAACTTTAACAGTTGTCGTGACAGAAAAACATGAGAAACATATGAAAATAAATAATTCGAAACCTTCAGGATAACGAAAGTAGTTTCCAGAACATAAAAGATAAAATTAGATTGAAAGATAATCTATTTTACTTTGATCTAAAATTTTTATGATTAAGGTGATAGTTAAAGAAATATATATTTACATTGTAGATTTACGCTCAAAACATGTAGTAAGGTATTATTGGATTAGTCCTTTTTCGTCATAGAACTAAGGAATGAATCTATAATTCAGCTTCCCCATCCTATAGGCATACAAGTACTGAGTTTGTCATCTTTGGCTTTGCATCGGCAATAACTACTAGACATCAGAAAGCCCCCCTCTTAATAAGCTAACTGTCATCTTCAGTTTTGTCTTACCAAAAGCCACTAAAGGAAAATTATTGTCTCTTAATAAACTGACTGTAAGCTATCCAAAAATTCTTTTTTCTTGACTCTCATATTGGTAAATCAGTAAGCATGTGATAGCCGCCTCTTATTGAACTGATACTGTAATCTGACTTCTTTAAAATCACTTTGGTAAATTATTAAACAGTTTTATCTTCAGACATTTTCTATATATATGTAAAACTGGAGACCAGATTGGACTCGAACTTGAGACGCTACATAACAGATAGATGCCATAAATAACTCAGCTTCCACAATTCCTACAGCCAACTCTCTATTTCATTGTATATTAAAGACGGAATATTTGACTTTCCAAACTGGCTTGTAAAGTTCAGTCAGGATCCTTTTATTTCTATTTTTTTCTTGAAAATGACCCCATTAAAATTTCTCTAGTTAACATCATTAGCTTGTACACTGCTAATGTACCCTTCCCCTCCCCAGTGGCACAGCGGTATGTCTGCAGACTTACAACGCTAGAACCCTGGTTTCGATACCCGTGGTGGGTAGAGCACAGATAGCCCATTGTGTAGCTTTGTGCTTAATTACAAACAAAACAAATCAAACAAAAGTTGCTGCTAATATTGCTCTAGCTGTGTAGAATTTGTTGTAAACAGAAAAACTGTAAATAAGTTGCCTTTACCTGAATATTCTATTCAATTTGAGCCAGGCATCAGTTGTTGTTATTCCTTGATAAAAGAAACACAAAACATTAGTCTATGCAAAAAGCAAATAGACAAAATAAATTATTTTAACAATATTTTAAATACCTTAGTGTAAACGAAACACAGTTTGAACTCAGGATTTGTTTAAAACTTGAAAAATTAGCCGTCCTTGCTGAATAATGTGATTCCTGGGTAAAAATTAGTCACTGTTTTGTCTCAATCTTAACATATAACATAAAGCAATGCATGAAAAGAAACTCAGTGTTGACTCTGTCTGTCAATAATATTATTCTCGCCAAATCGAAATGGTGAATTATATGAGTCTAGCATTAATATTCATTCAATTTATGCCAATATATAGCGCTTAGCAAATTAATTCAATAAATAATTGCGTAGAATTAGTTATACATGGGCAAACAAATAAACCTATACGCCCATCATATTTTGTGAGTTTATATCAACGTGAAGAGCCATCGCTTATGTTTCGAGTCTTTTTCTCAGCATTCATATTATTGGAACTATAGCTGACATCACAACTATTTAGTACATATGATCTAATTACATATACACTATTCGTTCTCTATTTGCGTTATTTACAGTCGTGTGTCTCGAGCTTCATTTTTACAGTTTTAACGAAGTCATTTTATGTTAGCATGTGTTTTAATTAAGTTACAATATTCACTCATCAGTGCAACCATAAAATTGGATTTGGGATGTAGCAAATCCCTGAAGAAAAATAAATAACTGAGACTTCTAAATGTAGGAAAATAAATCTATATTAAGTATTTAATGTTCATGAAGGAGTCAATGTGAAAGAGAATCGTTTAATGTGTTTTATACTATAGTATTTGAAATAAATTATTCATACAAGACAATCTACTGATCTGAATTTTTAATCATTTTAAAAAAAAGCACCCTTTTTGTTATTTAGTAATTTAAGATTTAATTTCTAAGAATTATTTTGACAGTTTCTGTGTAACCGTTGTTGAACACTAGAGAACGTCTTAGTATTAATGGTGTTGCCTAGCAACCTGTGCCGTGGAATGCTGTGTTAGTAAAACAACAATTAAACGATTCAATATTTAATAGTCTCGTTTCGAGTTTAGTTAAAATTTTGAACCTTTGTACTGTCAGTTACGGCTTGTGTTTTAGTGAAACGTTCCTTAAGAAGGTGTAAAGCGAAACGTTTAGTGTCCAATTAAAGAAAAATAATAATTTGATGTTATAAGGTCGTATTTTTTTAGTAATAAAATTGAACAATTCACCTGTCGGAAGCTTGTGAAATGTAAGATAAAAACAACGACAATAGAAAAAAGAAAATGTGTAGAAAGTTTACCGAACCATTTATTTAATAATATAAAGTATTGTTGTCGTTTCCTAATGTCAGCAAGTACATATATTCTACAATATATCTGTAGCTCTTTACCACTGTTTCATGATTTTGATAGAAAACATTCTTCTAGCGTATTCCTGACATAGAAATCTATAACATTCTCTTAGTTGTGACAGCTGTAAAACCGATACAGTTCCCGGGCAGTGAATACAACTTCTCTGTTGTCTTAGAAGACAGAAGCCTTCAAACCAGGGAAGAAAATAAGGTTGGACTTCTATTCTGTGTAATTTCATATAGCTAAATCTTTCCTATCACAAAAGTAAGAATAACTTTAGGATATTTCATTCCCTGTGAACAAAAACAATCGGTTTAGTTTCGCCACAATGTTTCTAATTGTATAATCAACTCTGCTACGTATACTATAAAGAATGTCGTTTCGTATATTGTGCTAACGGAAAAACAATTTGTAGCTGGTTAGCGTGCAAGGCTTTGAATCCAAGAGTCCATGGTTCGCATCCTGTTACTTAAAATTGTACTTTGGGGTCGTGGAGTGCATTATAAGAGTGGCGTTTAAATCTATTTTTCGATTGAAGTTGCCCAAGAGTTGGCGGTGTGTGCTGTTGAATCTTTTTCTCTAATCTGTTAGTTGAAAATTAGGGTAGGGTATAATGTTACGTAAATATCAAACAAACAAATAAGAAAATAAGCCATAGCATTGCATCTTTTTCGGTGATTATATGTCTTCAGAAATAATAGAGTAAACATACTGAGTGCATTTTTTTTCAGTTTCAAAAGCAGACTCTAAAATGATAAAAAAAAGAATATTATTTTGAGTGATAGAGAATATGGATACCGATTTTTTATATCTTCCTAACATTATCACATTTTTGATCCACATCATCTGGTTTTAATAAAAATATGACAGAATAAAGGCATATTTCATATGGCCTTGGATATTATGGACATTTAACACGACCTTAAAAGATAACAAAATATTTTATATTTGCTGTGTATTATTATCAGCAGGAACATAAATCTTTCGATGATTTTTCTAATCTAAGTGATATTTATATCATATCTGTAATGTTTCTCTAAATTGTGAAAATTCATGCATATCTCTAGATCTTGACTGTTTGTAGTCGTCCATTAATAACTGTTTTAAACGAGTGTTTTAGCAATGCCACATTTTCTAGGTATTTTCGTGTAATTTTTAACTGTCTTATTGGTATGTTGGACCATAGTAATCTTGAAGCTGACCTTTTAGGGTTATTGGCAAGACTTCGTGTAGGAGGTTTGACCTGATTAATATTTTTTATGTGCATTATCCGTACTTCTTGGTACAAGTTTATTCCTAATTAAGTTTCAGATGGTCAAGTTCCTGTAAGTGCCTTGACCCAGTCAAATTAAGAAAGTCGATTATTTGAGTTGTAAAGTTGGAACGATTTGTGTCCAGTCTTATCATCGTGTCTTTATCTGAGGTGTGGATGTCTTAAAATGTTAAATATAACCCATGTGTAACTTGCCAGATTGAGACTGACTGAGAAGAGCAATATTTTAATACTTGATTTGCTATTCGTATGTAAAATTCCAGGGTCTGTGTCATTTGTTGAACGTAATTAACTCTTCCAACACTCTCAATCTACACTGACAAGTTTCACCATCCTTTCAGTCGCTGTTTCTGAATAACATAAGTGTTGTAGTAAATAAGTAACCCAACCTTACATCTTATTATCTGGCTTTAGCCACAAGAGTAAAGTACTTAAATCCTGCTAAGTTTCAGTGTTCGTTCAAATAAAAAGGTTGAACTTGATGGGATTGTTATGAGAGGATAATGTTGGCGTAGGATATTAAAATTTATGCCTGAAACAAGTCCAAATATTGTATATCTTTTGTGTTTAAAATAATTGAAGCAGCTGTATTTTCTCATATGGTTGCATTAACATTAATGTTAGCGAGTCAAAAGAATATACATTTTTCTTGTTAACGCATCAGTAGAAAATAAGTATCTTGTGAATGTCTCAATAAAATATATTCCTCACTTTAGTGTATTAACAAAATATACGTATTATATAGTTGTATTAACAGAGATGTGTCTCATTTACGTATATGTATATAATGTATGCCTCCTGTAAGCATTTCAGTAATGTATCTATGCTTCATTTGAAAGCATTATCTTGTTGTTGTGTCAAAGAAACTATGTTTTGTTTGTCTATCAAATGCGCATGTCTCTGGATATAACGAAACCTAACTAAAGTAAACACGCGTCTGCTTGTTTACAAGTTTATGTTCTTCAGTCAGTTTCATTCGTAGCACACAATTTATACATTTGTGTATCAAGCTTTGCATTAACGAAGAATTTCTTATTGACTCGAAAATAAAGCAATCCCCGAGATACATATGTACATATACAATATAGTCAATAGAACCACTCTAACTATTAAACAAAGTAAAGTTAAACAAGCTTCATAAGATCGTCAAACTCACACAGATATATGCTTTCAGGGTGTGTGATTTTAAGGCAAAAGGATCAGAGCAAAAAGAAAAAGACTATTTTATTTAATCACAACGTGCCGCCCCCCCCCACCAGTGGCACAGCGGTATATCTGTGGACTTACAACGCTAGAATCCTGGTTTCGATACCCGTGTTGGGCAGAGCACAGATAGCCCATTGTGTAGTTTTGTGCTTAATTACAAACAAACAAACACAATGTGCCTAAGTATTTAGTTTCCAGAAAAGATAATACTCATTTCACGAAATATTTTATCCATACAATATACTTTGTCTGCTCTTATTGGAAATTTTTTCTCTCAAGTTTACAAATTTTTTTTGTTTTTTATTTTGGATACTGATTGTTAATGTTGAATGCTGTAATTGTGGTAATTGACCATTAGGCCTTACAGCAGGAGTCCAAGTTGTTGTTTAATGTACAAAGAAATGTGCAACTTTTGAAAGAAGAATATAAAAAAAGTTGAAAACTTTATCGAATAATTAATATATTTGTAATAACAGTGCAATAAAACTGAAAATATTTTTATAACTTCATTCTTTATTATATCTTTTACAGATTTCAGTAAGAACTGTGTTTAATAGTATTTCAACTAGACTATCTCGGTTGTATGCCACTGCTTATTTAATTTCTGTACTGCATAGTGGTGTAGAGAAGACATATTAATATTAGAAATAAACGACCTTATAACACCAAAATGTTGTTTTTATGTAATTAGACCCTCAACGTTTCGCTTTATAGCTTTTTCAGGAGCATTCACTAAAACACAGATCGAAACTTTCATTTTGGTGTTATAAGGTCGTTTATGTCTAGTATTGTATGCCCCTGCTGTCGAAGCTTTCCCCTCAATACTCATCGTCCTAGCGGCTGTAAAACATATAAAGTACTAATTGAAATGCTATTGATATCCTTCACTAGTCCGTCAATAAAGAATGATGTGATAAATATTATTATCAATGTTGCTATAAAGTGTTATCATATCCAGTAAGGTAGCATGTTTCGCCAGTCTAGGTATTTTACATTATTAGACTACACGTAAAACTTTGTTTACTTTTTTGTAGAATATAGCTTTATGCATTTGGCAGTCTGCGTCCTTGTTTCATCTTTTTCCAATGTTCACAAAGCAATAGTTTATTGTTTACCTTTGTTTTAACTCGATTCGTAAGTGTTATGCATTTCCTCATTATTTTTGACCCCAGTGGCACAGCGGTATGTCTGCGGACTTATAACGATAGAAACCGGGTTTCGATACCCGTGGTGGGTAGAGCACAGATAGCACATTGTGTAGCTTTGTGCTTAATTATGAACAAAAAACAGATCATTATTTTTAGTTAAACTAATTGGAACTTCACGTTTGGACAAAATAATGATTTAATTAGCACAGTTTAAACAAAAAAGGAAAACAATATCAATAAAATGCTGATAAAACTTTAAACAATTTTTGTATTTTATATTTATGGCTAGCTAATAAGACTATCTGTCGTCGTCTATAATTTTGAACTACTGCCCAGAGGGAAGGCAGCCAGTCAGTAGCACCCTCCATGCCAAGGGATTGACTGTCACAGCTCAAAATGTGGGGAATATTTTGTAGTATCGCACTGATTCGGCATCTGCTCGCCAGCTCTGAAATATGGAGATATATTACAGGACCAGCTCACGCTTTATCAGTAATTACATATTTATGGAAAATTGTTATTCAGAAGGATATTGTTATTAAGATCGAAGGAGGTACTTTTGATATACACCCTAATTAATAACGCTCTTAGAGTGTTGCTATGGAAACTGCCATCTACCCTATTATGTTGTCATATCATTGTCCTTCTAATATTAATACTGTATAAAGATATTGCCTCCAAAGCAGTTTAACGTCAAATTATCTCGATGATTAATCATATAATATTCTGACACAAACCTTTAATATTATTAAATTAACAAAGTAACTCGTAACAAAGCAATCTGTGTAATTTTTAATTTTTTTTTGTCCATTACTTTAGGTAATATATAACGTTATTATTCATAAAAGTCTTCGCAACCAATTACAACAGCCAGTGTTGCCTCTGAATGGTGAATACAGCACGATGGTCTCTCGACAAGCAGCTCGACATGCTCGTGTAAGACCTCATAAACATATCTTTATTTTCATCAATACTATAATTAATAATTCTTCTTTTTTCCATTGTTACTACTAATAATAATAAACATAAAACAATATATATTTTACAATTAAATAAGAAAAAGTAATTTGAATATAACTTGAATACTAAAGTTGTATGTGCTGTTACATATTAACTTAACGCCATAACTTGGTTTTATATCTTACATTATTTTATTAAGCTGTTTCGTTAGATAGTGAATATACTCGAAGTATTTTATTATTTCTCAAAATGTAAATTAGTTAATTTCTTTTAATCTATGATGACCATTTTTTGACAGGTTATCCAGCCTATTAAAGTACCACTGTTTAGTCGCTGGTTTTTCTCCCTATCTCCTGGAGATCAGAGTATTTTCGGCATCACACCTCAAACTGGAATAATCTATGTGAAAGATGATAGAGAGCTCAAGGACATTCCTGAACAATACATTAAAATAAATCTGTCGTGGATAAACGATGTTGAGAAAAAAGGTTATGTGACTGTTGTTGTCAACTTAACTACAGAAGGTAAACAAATTGGTGGTTTACAAATTTTATTATTAACTAAAATCTATCTTTCAGTTGTAGAGGCGCATCGTGGTGGGAATATTATTAGAAATTTTGTTTAAGGGTATTGTTGATATTTATCTTCTATCTAAATATTAGACTGTCTGTTGTATGTCCATGTAACTACTTCCCAGGGTGTGGATGGATCTTCACCAAAATTAGTATAGAGGTTCATTGGATCCATAGGGAAATACAAACAAATTTTCAGTTTTGCGTTTTACGGTTTCTATGGGCGTTTTTGCGTTTTTTACCACTACTTCGCCCCTCTTGATGAATCTTCACCAAATTTGACAGGAAGGTTTGTTTGGTCCATGCGGATATACATGCAAAGTTGCGGTTTCACATTTTGTGAGTTACGTTTTTTTTTGGGGGGGGGTCGGTTTTGAACTTTTTTTGTCCTAAGATAACCTTTAATTATCATAAATTTGCATAACTTCTGTCCAGGGGATGGGTACACCAGCTAGTATGTAATAATTAGTTAAATAAGAATATCACTCAAGTTGTCTCATTAGGGTAAATCGTTCTATTTTAGCATTTTTAATGATGTTACTTATCAAAGCTTTATATTTGTGTAGTCTTATTTCACAACATAGTGTGTCCTTCCTGTTCAAGTCTCACTGCTGACGTTTCTCATCACGACTTGTGGTTGATTTGTTTCTTTTTATTTATGCTTCATTGTTGGTGTTACATTTTTGTTCACACTTTGTTGCTTATGTAGTTCTTTTTTGCTTTGGCCTTTGTGTTGGTATTGTTTAGATGTCGTTTTTATTGCTCACATTCTATTGTTATGTTCTTTTTTCTTCCCATCTGGATTTTAGTATAGTTTCTTTTGTTTCCCACCTGGTTGTTGTTGTTCATGCCTCATTGTTGGTATTTTACATGTTCACTTGTTGCTTTTGGTGTTTCTTTTCTTAGTTACACGTCACTATTGATGTTGTTCTTTTTGCTCTCGCCTTTTTTTGGTGTTATAGTGTTTGTTCCGCCCCGTTGTTGTAATCTTCTTCTTCAGACCCAGTTGTTGATATTATTCTGCTTGTTCATATCACGTTCATGGCATTGTTCTTTTCGTTTGCAATTTGTTTTCGGAGTTGATTTCCTCGTTCATACCATATTTGTGTCTTTGTTATTCTTGTATCAAGCTTCTGTAAAGAGACTCACCTACCCATTTGAAAATTGGCATACTTAACAGCTGTGAAATATGAAAGTAATGTATTTTTATAGAACAAGCACTCATGTGTATATCTAAATAAAAATATAGTATCTTGCTTACGATCAAGTACTTTATTGTTAACCAAATAAAAAAATAAAAATAAAACAATATACCTTAAAATATCCTGATACACAGATAGAAAGCTATAAAAAATATCAATGTTATTTTACATTAGTTTAGTCAAGAATACCTGTCACCCAAGTCTTGTAGAATTCGGTTTGAGACTGTATCCGAGCTTATCATTTCATAATGGGCAAACACTTGTTATTTGTTTAAAGTTAACAGTGCTGTTTTATACATCTACTTCACTCAACGTACAAGCTCTTGAGTTCGAAATTACACTATTGTAGGCATGTTATATTGTTATGATTTAATTAATCTGCTTCAAATAGTTTGTTATCTATGATGTGATGCATAGATTCAGTTCTAATCTACGTCATTGGATCTGGAGTTGGCTTTTCGTGAAACAAGCAAGCACCGAAATCTAAAACAAATTGGCAAACATCATTTTAAGCCATTGATTTAAGTAATATTTTCATGGGGTTATTCATCCGTTGTTACTAACCTTCTCAAAGACGTAACAAATAGAAAGAAAAATCATTTCAGCGGACGTCACATACTGAGTGTTTGTTAAAACTAGTACAACTATTTCTCGAATATTATTTTCAACAACGTTGTGCTAGTTAATAATTTTTTATAGCGTATATACAAATAATGTTTTTAAATGTTCTATGTGTTTTACCTTTAAGATCAACTGAGCAGGAATTTTACCTAATAGGTAGAACGTTGTATAAAGTTCTTCCAAGAAAGTCGGTGCTTAGAAGATCAAACATATCTTAAGTGACTCCACTGTATTTGCTGGGGGTGGGGGGGGGGTGTAACCTGGTGGCTAGCATGCCAGCTGTGGATCCGAAGGTCCGTGGTTCCACTACCGTTACTGAAAAAAAAAATCGCGCTCAACACTTCTGTGCTGCGGATGCGTTATAAGGTTGTTCAGCAAATCCCACTATTTCATTAGAATATTACTACTACTAGTAGTGGCACGTATTCGTCACCTGTATTAAAATGCAATTTCTTAGAGTAGCCCAAAAGTTGACGGTGAATGCTGTTCACTAGCTGCCTTCCCTCTAGTCTAGCAACTCAAAATTAGGGACGACTAGCGCAGATAGCCCTTTGTGTAGCTTTACTCGAATATCCCAAACAAACAAATATTCACTGTATAATTATAAACGGACTTTTCTGTTACACTGTTGCCCGACAAAGGCTCCGGTAAGAGGGCCGAAAGCTCGCAATAAAAGTATTTTAACGTAGAGAAAATTCCGTGTATAATTCTACATATTAATTTACCTACTTTATGGGTCTTAAACAACAAGTATTTACTGGTACCAAACATGTTTACGGACTCTGCCAGCAGCTGAATTCAGCTGGAAGACCCATTGTACTTGTATGTAAATATACACCAGCTGGTCAGCGAGTCGTTATTTTCATGTGACGGGAGCATTTAGAGCTCACCACAACAGTATGTAAAAACAGCTATTTATAGATAGATAGTACAGCTTTCTATTGTGTAAGATTTAGTTTCTACAGTTATGTCAGTATTTGAATTTGCTTGTTTTTGTTTCAATGTTTTTTTATATTACAATATATGTATATAAAGTTTTTTGTTTTTGTTTTTTGCTTGGAACATGGCATTTTTGTTTTAAGGGTTGAAAATGCAAGTAATTTATTTAAATAATATTTCAGATTTATATTTCCAGAACCTAAACACATCCAAAAGTGATTTTACTTCTTTGAAAAATCTCGCCCCGCAATTTGGGGTCGTGAACTTAAATTGCACTATTTGATTAGAGTCACATATGCATTGGCGGTGGACGATGCTGACCGGTTGCCTTCCATATAATCTATGTGTTCAACATTAAGGACGGCTAACGCACGTGGCACTTATGTAAGTTTGGGTGACTATCCAAAACGAACCAAAATAGTATATATATAATATTTTTCAATGTATGAGAACCCGGAAAAAATTTTTATGTGTTTCTACGAACTCTATCTGTCTGACTGCTCATCATAGATGATTATCTCGGTGTGAATTCATATGTCTTAGTTTGGTACGTTTAAGTTTATTAAATTTTCACAATGTTTTTGTGTGCTCTTCCAACTTGATAACGTTTCGCTATGTTTAAGTACCTTGATACTCAAAAATCAATGTTTTCCCCTTTTCTTCAGTTTGTTTGCATTTTTGTTAATAAAAAAATGTTCATTGTGGTAAAATATATAATAATTTCATCTAAGTAAGAGTTTTTCTTCTTCTCGATTTGTACAAAATTCTTACGTAATACAAAATTAATAATATTATTTTCGAAATCTGCGTGGCTGAATTATGGAAAATCTGTTAGTAAAACCAAAACAACTTTTATGAACTTTAAATTCGCAGGCGTGTGTTAACTATTTAAGTACTCTGATGTCGAAACGTTGTGTTCTCGTCCAAGTTGACAACGCGTCGCTGCTCTTCAGTATGTTGTGCTTCAGCTACTAAGTACTTCAATACAATGCTAGTTACAATGTTACTAAGCAACTTAAGTTCGTTCTAAAGTCTTCGTAACTGTAATATTCACACTCTTTAAAAATAGTCTCATGATAAAATGAATAAGCTTTTAGAAATGCTATGTAAATAAATAGTAAACATAAATTATATTTACTAAGGATGCCTAAGTATTCCTCCTTAAAATCTACAAAATTTTACGAGTAATTGACATTTATATAAACATATTCAGATGTCTGAAGTTTCCTTCTCAATGTGTAAAATATTTTACAAGTAAGTGGTGTGTAGATAAACAGTAATCATGCAACACATTCCTTGAAATCCATGGAAATGGTTTGTAATTGTAATAAACAATCCTACGAATGCATATATATATATATAATTCTTATGACAATAACATTTTATATTTTCTTGACATGTAATTTGATCTCACAAAAACTTGTATTTTGTATTGTAGCAGATATGAACAGTATTGTGTTATGTTCTAGTCTAAATAGAGGCTGTTCACGATAATTTAATATTCTAATCCTGTTTTGCCATTTTTTGTCTTCCAAGTTCATAATAGACTCGTGCTCAATAATCAATATCCAAAAACTTAGAATCGTTTTACCTATTTTATAGTTCATTATTTTACGTTTTTATAGTTTGTTTGTTGGGAAGCTCGTGCAAAGCTACACGAGGGCTATCTGCGCTAGCTGTCCCTAATTTATAAGTTAAACACTAGAGGGGAGGCAGCTAGTCATCACCACCCACCGTCAACTCTTGGGCTACTCTTTTACCAATGAGGGAAGGCAGCTAGTCATCATCACCCACCGTCAACTCTTGGGCTACTATTTTACCAATGAGGGAAGGCAGCTAGTCATCATCACCCACCACCAACTCTTGGGCTACTCTTTTACCAACGAATAGTGAGATTGATCGTAACATTATAACGCCCCCACGACTGAAAGGGCGAACATCTTTTGTGGGACGGGAATTCGAACCAGAGATCCGCAGATTACGAGTCAAGCGCCCTAATCACCTAACCATGCCAAGCCAAGTTTTTATAGTTCATCGTTTTACGGTTTTTAGAGTTAATTGTTTTACGCTTTATATTTCATCGTTTTACGGTTTTTAGAGTTAATTGTTTTACGCTTTATATTTCATCGTTTTACGTTGTTTTTTTTATAACTAAACATATATATATGTCTATAATGGCTATTTTTACAAGGCTTTCAGGCCTTCAAATCAGTAGAAAAAATGAAAAACATGGGGAATATTCATGACGATACCTTAGTTCTTGGTCAGTGCTGTGAAAGACAGTGCGTTTGTGATGAAATATATATGCTTCATTATTTATGTAAGAGAAAAGTTAATTTAAATTTGTGTAAGCCTTTCACATTTACAGTTTAAGTAACAACTGTCTTTTTATTACGAGTAATTAGAATTTCATTTCACCAAACAGTGTTTTGATAAAATGTTGTAACTTTTTGTTTTGTGACAATTATTATTATTTCTTGTTTCTTTCAGATGATCCTTCTAACAATAAAGAGTGTGGTAAGTTTACGTCGATAATCCTTCAAACGAATTCAATAGTGTACCTTCTGGGATAATGAAACAATATTAATAAATACTTGCGACAATAAGTAAAAAATATTAGAAAGCTAACACGTAAGAGATGCCATACGTATTCAAATATGTTAGAGGTAATACTTACAAAAAAAAAGAGTATCTCTTTGGTTAAGTTATCCTAGTCGTAATATGGTTATAGATTTTCGGATGGAATTGCCTCTTTGATGGATAGAGTTCACACGTCTTGAACGTAGGTTATAATATTAAAATGGCCTCATTTACAGGTATATCACGATTTAAAAATGCGTATTGCACCTTTTATAATTCACTTCTTTTGTGGTTAGACGTTGTGGTATTCTCAGCTTGTCCTGAAGTCTCTCAGAGTAGTAAACAAGAGGATTCGTCATTTATCATTTTACACAGCAGCACTGTAGACAGTTACAATCTTTGTTATCCACAAACATTGTCAAATGTTGATGATATTTAGACAAGTGCTTTGTGATGTATATGTCAACTGAAAAGAGTGCGTTATTTGTGCTAAAATCAAAACTTTAGCAAAACACAATCTGTAAGTCTGAATCTCAATGAAATCTCGATATAATCTCTACTTAATTTCTGTAACACAAAATCTAACCTCTAAAAAACCTAATCTCTCTAAATCTGAATATAAGTAGACCGTCTATCTATATCTTAAGTCTGGTTAAATCCTATCAAACAATTGAAAGCCTAATAATGCATTTAAATTTTGTTCGTTCCCCACAGGCGCATGCACCATCAACATGACTGAGGGTCATGCCAGCAAGATGTGGATTATACCGTAAGGAAATCCCATGGTTCGCTTCTAGAGCTGACCAATTGTTTTTATCACAACATAGTTCAAAGTGCAATGACTTTTTGTAAAGGAAACATATGGTGACTCAGACAATCCCATAAATACCAAGAGGAGAGTACTTCCCTTGACCCATGTTCTATATAAAGAATAAACCATGAAACAATCAAATTATCTGCAACTAATGTGGTATAAAACCATTGTATACCCGCATATTACAGCATCCTTGCTCTAAGCGTGCAGAAGCTATTTGGTTTGCAACAATAAGCGTTGCCATATATGTGAAGTGTGCAACAATAAGTGTTGCCATATATGTGAAGTGTACATACAGCAAACTTATTAGATTCACTATAACACAGAGTTCTTGATAGATTAAAAACTTAAAATCAATTGGGCATTTATCTGTGCATAGTATTACAAAGTAAACCAATTATTTTCTTCTATTCTATTTAAGAAAATAGTGCTACTATTATGCTGACAAATGTAAAATTTGAAAGACTGGTGCTAAATATCTGACGAACATATAAACCAAACGGTAATATGTTGGTCATCGTGAATTTTAAACGCTGTGAATAATGAGTCATTTAAATAAATGTTCATAAAAATGTGTTTGTTTGTTTGTTATTTTTAAAAGGTCATTTTTTTACTTCCATGCGCCTCATAACGTATTTTTTCTTTTTTTACATCAGTATTTATAACACGGGTTTTTTTTCTTATTAGAAAACATTTTACCAACCTTACCTTTTGTGTCCCAATATAAATGTGTAAATTTGTAAGAAACAACGTGTATATGGGTAACCTCCAAAATTAGTATGTTTAGATATATCTTCAGCTTCTTCTTCCACATCAACTTTATTTATTTCTTAAACTTGAGGTATTTGCATTGGATGGATGAAAAAAAACAACTTATACGATCCTAATTGCAGTTGTTAGCATAGTTTTTGAATGCATATATAAATTTTCATAGACCAGCTCTGCGCATCCTTTGAGGATGAAGATCATTGTACAAGTTCTTGCGGTGCAGGAGTACAGAGAGGGCGCTGTTTATGGAGGCGAGGGATTACCAGTACAAGTTTTATGAGTGTGGAATACGCCACCTGCACTACAAATCTTGAAACTTGTCCTAATGGAGAATGTGATGAGCTAGAAGAATTTGACAAAACACTCTGTCCTCAAGACTGCATTCGTAAGAATTTTTTCTTGTATTTTTTGTTCATTTTAAAATATCTTTTAGATGTCAAACACGATTTTTCAGCTTGTAACTACAGAAAAAAATATGTTGCTCCATGTAATGGACCGTGATAAAACTATTATTTCACATAATTACTTAAAATAAATTAGATGTTGTTTATTTCAAGAGAAAGATATATCAGATTTGTGTCCTACTGTTTCGTATTTCATTAGAACAAGAAAACGTCCAAGGGGAAGCTATTGCTTACGAAAAAGGTAGAGGTATTCAACTAGCTGTTGGAACGTGTATATGTATAGCTTACGACAGTTGTTATTGCGAGCGCTCAGAACCTCCAGCAAATAAAAGCAGACAGAAACATCCACATATCCTAGACCAAGTTCATTCCACTGGAGATTTTACAAATATTCACACTAAAGCAACAACTGGTGAACCGAGCTTTAGCACCGACAAGGCCTCCAAAATGGAAGACTCTGAAAATCATTTTATAACTGGTGAGAATTAATTAAATAAACAAACTGAGAGAATTAATTAAATAAACAAACTGAGAGGATTAATTAAATAAATAAACTGAGAGAATTAATTAAATAAACAAACTGAGAGGATTAATTAAATAAACAAACTGAGAGAATTAATTAAATAAACAAACTGAGAGGATTAATTAAATAAACAAACTGAGAGAATTAATTAAATAAACAAACTGAGAGGATTAATTAAATAAAAAAACTGAGAGAATTAATTAAATAAACAAACTAGAGAGGATTAATTAAATAAACAAACTAGAGAGAATTAATTAAATAAACAAACTAGAGAGGATTAATTAAATAAACAAACTGAGAGAAGTAATTAAATAAA